GGGGGGGGGTTTGTTCTAGAAATGGACGTATATGTAGATGGAAGTAGCTGCAAAATCATAGAAATTTGCTAATTGTCTTTTGGCATTTTGAAGTGTGAATTTGTGAGCCATCATCGAATAGGCAAGCCAAGCTTGACGGTATGTGAGTATTAAATTATACGAAGCGGATCCAGGATTTTGGGTGTGCACTATTAAGAAGAGGTAGATCCATAATATAAATTTTACGGGTTCAACCTTTAGTTCTTACGATTGGGTACCCATTGCACTTTTGGAATTATAAGTTCAAATTTTTGTTTTTTTAAAATAGCAATTTTCTTACATCTATATATGTTTTCCATGTTAAAAATATTGAGATCAGTTGAACTCATTGACTATATGGTACATCATACACTGCTACTAGTTTTAATATACACATTTTGTTTAATCATATAAGATTTTACAGCGACAAAAGAAGAATAGGAAATTCAATGTGTGAAAATTTTGAAAGAATTAACCAAACAAAAAAAAAAGAAATAAAAAGAAAAAGTACTTAATTAATAAGCAAAAAATAACACCAGACACGCCCATCTCCCATGGGCGTCTACTTCTAGAAAAAAGAAGAAGAAAAAATAACAAGATTGACATAAGATTTGAACTCACAAACTCACTTAAAGAGGTACACTTAATAATCATCACATCATATAATAGTTTGAGCATGAGTGCACACACATATATTTAAATATCGTTTGAAAAATATAACATTACTATACATGATTTAGGGCGGGGAACATGAATTCACGTGCCCCATGGAACCCTCCTAGATACGCCCCTGGAATTATAACCCAATATATAATAAAAATAAAATTTCAAATCCGTAAACTTCAAATCTTAATTTCGCTTCCGTAAAGAACTTAAATATTTCTAGATGTCCTTCCGTTTTCTAGTTCTTCTTTTTCTACTATTCGTGAGTCCATTCTCACTCAAAAAAAAGAAAAGAAGGTGGAAGGTCGTGAGTCACGAGTCGTGACTGGCGATTATTAAATATTTTGCGTAAATTCGTGGCACCTTCATTCTTCTTGGATATTGTTTTGGTCTTTTCCCACCTGAGTTTCTGTTGTTACTTGGAATCAATAATTGTCAAAACTCGACAAGTTTTTATCATTTGCCATTAAATTCGTATACGGATTTAAAATTTAAATTTTAATAAATTTAACCTTGCAATAAATTTATTATATTATTAAAACTATAAATTCAAATTTAATATTTGTTGAGAATTTAATATTTGTTGGGGGTCGGAAAGGGTTTATTACTGTACTAATTAATAAGCACATCAAAGACATGCGGGATATCTGGGAGCCATTATACATATTATGTGTATGTAAATTGTAAATTTGTAATGAATATATTTGACTTAGATTTTGTGTATCATACTTCTTGACAATATTGTAAACAATAAAACAAATACAATAAGTTACCAATAATTCTGGTGATGATGCTCCTATGGATCCCTTTCGTGCATTTTTTATTTTTTGGTTGCTTTTACCTTGAATTAATCAGCATTAAAATTTAATTGTAAAATTAAAAATTGTGGTAATTGTCCGTACTTGTTCATGTACTTGTTCGTACTTGTCGTGCAGAGATATATGGATTACTATAATATTTTTGGTGTTTATTTTTCTAAATGGAAAAATTCATAAATATTATTCTACTTATTTTGATATTACTAGAAGGATTAGTATTATATTGAACACAACTACTGGACGGTTAGTCAACTGTTATGATGTACTACTTACTCCCTTGCGTGTATAGTGATGTTGCTATATACATTTTCAAGCAAATTAATAATCTTCCTTTATTAATTATTTTTGTAGCTCTAAGTAGTTTTATAAAGGACGATTTGTGTTTCACTTATAGGCTGTGATGACGCCCAACACTATAGCTAGGCAAGCCAACTAATAAATTAAATATTTATTAATAAAATTTAAATCCAAAAAAAATAATAAGACACCAAATTCTACCAATGTGTATGCCAATACCTGGTGTCACAAGTGTATGACCATCTAGTAGATTATACAAAACTCTAAATACTGTCTGAAATGAAAATAGACAGAATTAAAATACAAGAAGAGGCACTGGTAGCTGCAGGACGGCTCAGAAAGGCAGCTCACCACTATGCCTCGGGATGACGTGGATATGTGATGATAGGTCCTCCACTAGTACCTGTCTCAGATCCTGAATAAAAAGTGCAGCAAGTGTAGTATGAGTACGTAAACAACGTGTACCCAGTAAGTATCAAGCCTAATCTCGAAGTGGTAGAGACGAGATGGTCGACTTTGACACTCACTATGGTTGAATAATAAAAATTGAAATAAAACTAGAATATCTAAATTAGCATGATTCACAGAATTTACAATAATTTATTTAACCAACATAAATAATTAAATTCCTTCAGATGCAACAATTCTCAATATATTAATTAAATTATTTCAATTCCAATAAATTTTTAATTTATCAATTAGTCTCATTTACACGAATAACAATAATTTCTTAACAAGCAGGAATAATAATCACTATTGTGTACGACTGTCGAGGTCGTACGACCCGATCCAGAATATTGTGTATACTGCCGAGGGACGTGCGACACGATCTATAGATGCATCTATCCTGCCGAGGCGTTCGGCCCGACCCACAAGAAAGGAGGACATTTTCTTATGTACCTCCGGAATACGAGTATTTATTATAAAATTTATTCGAGAGGATAATAATTTATTTCAACAATTAATTAATCTAAACAAAAATAAAGCATATGAAAATTTCATCTTTTACTACCTTTCATAACAATTCACAATATATACATCAAATAATTTAATTAATAAAGAATATAATTTACACAAGTAATTCATGCTTTGAGTCCTAAAATACCCAGACTTTAGCATTAATAGTAGCTACGCACGGACTCTCGTCACCTCGTGCATACGTAGCCCCCGCAATTAGCAACAATTATTTAATTTAATCACCTATGGGATAAATTTTCCCCTCACAAGATTAGACAAGAGACTTACCTCGTCTTGCTCCAATTTAATCCACTAGTAGGCCTTTTCCTCGATTATCCAACTTCAATTGGCTCGAATCTAACCAACAATAATTCGATACAATCACTAAAATTTATAGGAATCAGTTCTATAAGAAAATACTACATTTTCAATAAAATTTCGAAATTAATTAAAATTTCGTCTGTGGGGCCCACATCTCGAAATCCGGCGAAAGTTACGAAATCCGACAACCCATTCATTTACGAGTTCAACATACCAATTTCACTCAAATCCGACTCCGGATCGACACCGAAATCTCAAATATTTATTTCTATGAGATTTCTAAAATTTTCTCAAATTTATATCTCAAAATACTAATTAAATAGTGAAAATAATGATATATTCGTGTATATTGACCAAATCCGAGTTGGAATCACTTACCCCAATGTCTTTCCTTGAAAATCTATCAAAAGTCGCCTCTGCTCAAGCTCAAGTTCGTCAAAAATGGCAAATGAGACGAATGCCCCTCTTTTTATAACTTACAGATCTGTCCAGTCCGATCAGGGAGCACGATCACGGAGTCCGATCAGGGAGCTCCATCAGGGAGTCCAATCAGTGAGCTCGATCAGGGAGTCCAATCAGGGAGGTCGATCAGGGAGCTCGATCAGGGAGTTCGATCAGGGAGCTCGATCAGGAGCTCGATCAGGGAGTCCGATCAGGGAATCCGATCATGGAGCTCGATCATGGAATCCGATCATGGAGCTCGATCATAGGAGCTCAATCAGGGAGTCCGATTTTTAGGGAGTCCGATCATAGGCCTCGGTCTTGGGCTCGATCATAGCCCAGAATTTCCAGCAGAAGAGAAAAATTGCAGCAGCTGTTTAAGTCCAATTTTTGATCCGCTAATCATCCGAAACTCACCCAAGGCCCTCGGGACCTCAACCAAATATACCAACAAGTCCTAAAACATCATTCGAGCTTATTTAAAATCTCAAATCACATAAAACAACGCTAAAACCACGAATTATGCTCCAATTCAAGTTTAATGAAACTTAAAATTTCCAACTTCTACATTCGAAGTCGAAACTTATCAAATCAAGTCCGATTGATCTCAAATTTTGCACACAAGTTATAAATAACATAACAGAGCTATAAAAAGTTTTGGAACTGTATTCCGACTCCGGTATCAAAAAGTCAACTCCCCGGTCAAACTTCCAAACTTAAATTC